ACTCCACTCCATACTTACCAGCAATGAGAGATCTCCACCAGGCATCATTTTCAGCCACAAATCTCCAGATCCACTTATAGAGAAGGGCAGAATTAAAAGATTTCAACTTCTTTATGCCTAAACCACCTTCATCCTTGGGGAGGCAGACTTGATCCCAACTAACAAGATGAATTTTTTTCTCCTCTTTATGCCTAAACCACAAATCTCCTTTGAAGTTTTTCAAGCTTTCTTGCAACTTTGTTAGGAATAAGGAAAAGGGAGAGGAAATAGGTAGGTAAATTGGATAGTGTGCTCTTAATCAAAGTTACCCTACCCCCAAAAGAAAGGTATTTTGCCTTCCAAGATGCCAATTTTCTCTCCATTCTTTCAATAACCGAGTCCCAAATTGAAGATAGCCCACAACTCGCACCCAGAGGAAGACCTAAATATTTAACTAGAAGAGACACAACCTGACATGCCAAAATTTCCGCACAATCAGCTAAGTTGGATACCTGACCCACTGGAATGAGTTGACTTTTATTCCAATTGACTTTAAGGCCAGAGACCACCTCAAACCAAGATAAGATCCCAAGAATTAAGTCCACCTGGGAGGGAGAAGCATCCACAAAACATAAAGTATCATCTGCAAATTGGAGAATGTTCACCTTCTCCCCCTCCAGAGTAATTGCAAACCCTTCCCACTCACTAGATTCAGCACCATTTTTACAAAACAAAGTGAGGATCTCCCTTACACATAAATAGTAATGGAGACAAGGGACCACCCTGTCTAAGACCCCTGGAACCATCAAAGAAGCCTACAGATTGTCCATTAATCAAGACTGAAAATTTTGGAGAGGTGATACATACTTTTATCCAGTTCCTCCATTTCTGCCCAAAATCCATCTTCTGCAACACAAGATCAACACATCTCAAGTTGACATGATCATAAGCCTTTCCAATATCAAGTTTACAGATCAGCCCTGGGGAACCTTCTTTTCTCCTTGAGTGAATAAGCTCATTGGCAATAAGAACTGAATCAAGCATCTGTCTACCCGGAAAAAAGGCACTTTGATTGTTAGAGATAACACTACCGAGAACCCCTTTCATTCTCTCAGCAAGAACTTTGGCTAAGATTTTATAGAAGCTATGCATAAGACTAATCGGCCTGAAATCTTTTATGTTCACTGCACCTTCAATCTTCGGAATAAGGGTAATAAAGATAGTGTTTAAATTCCTCTGCAATGAACCTCTCTCATAAAAGCCATGAAAGACATTCAGAATATCCTGTTTCACAAAGTCCCAGCATTTAATGTAGAAAAGATTTGTAAGTCCATCTGGCCCCGGGAATTTCTCATCTACCAACATCTTAATTGCTGCTTTTATTTCCTCCTCCGTGAAAGGTCTTTCAATGAAAGTGGATTGCACATCACTCAACTGTTTAAAGGGAAGGGACCTAGGAAATGGTCTAAAGAACCAGGATTCTTTATACAGATTTTTATAAAAGCTGATTGCCACTGTCTTCATGTCTGCCTCAAAATCCCCCACCCTACCCTCCCCTTCCAACCAGGTAATTGCAGAAGCTCTAGCTCTTGCATTTGCAATTTTATGGAAAAAGTGTGTGTTTTTGTCCCCCTCTTTTAGCCAAATTTCTTTCTTAGGGAACGGCTGGGGGAAGGGGAAGAGGAGCACAAAGAGCAAAGGAAAGAGGCACAAGGACCCAAAGAGGCTGGGAGTACAAATTCAGTTATCAAGGTTAGAAGGGTCCAAATAAACATTTCCAAGCAACTCAACAAAGATGCAAACAAGCCCAATTCAAAATCCCTCAACCCTCTTCTAGAATTCAGGTCCCAATTTAAGCCTAACACAAAGGAAGAAGAAACATATCTTTGGACAGATTCATTCTTAAGCAGGGAAAGAGAGTGCAAAGCAGAAAAGAGATCCTAAAGAGCCGAACACTTGATCCAAACATCCTCCCAAAACAGAATTTTATCTCCAGTACAAGCAGCTTACCTGATGAGAGTCATGAGACTCTATCATGAATAGCCTTCCAGGGTAAAGCCAAAGTTCCCTGTGAAGATATCCTTGCAACCCAACCATTGCATGCCTGTCCATGTATACTCTCTATCACCCAGTGCCATTACCTCTCCCTCTCAAAAGACCACCTCCATAACCATTTACCCAACAATGCTACATTCTTCTTCCCTATATTACCTAAACCCAATCTCCCTAGATCCTTTCTTTTACAAACAGTCTCCCATTTAACCAAATGATCCCTTTTATCTTCGCCTAGCTCCCATAAAAACCACACATAATCTTTTCCTTCACAGCCTCCTTAAGGGACATTTTGAAAACTGAGAGATAATAAATGGGTAGGTTAGAAAGGGAAGAATTTATTAGGGTTTTTCTGCCTCCCAAAGAGATATAGTTCCTCAACTCTTTGATATTCCCCTTTAACCTCTGTATCTTCCTATGGAATCTAATCCCTTTCTAAGTCACTCCCCTCCATTCTTCCTTCAGCCATCCTTCCATCTTCTTTAAAAAATCTGGATGACTCAACCACGTGTTCTCAAATCTGAATAGGGTAGGACCACTAAGGAAATCCTCTATTCCAATTCTAATCAGGCAATGATCAGATGTGACCCTTGGCAAAGTTCTAGACACCAATCCTTCCCAATGTGCTTCCCACACAAGATTGAAAAAGAATCTATCTAACTTCAAACAGGTAGGAGAAGTTTGTCGATTTGACCACATAAATTTTGCTTGGTGTAGGGGGATTTCCTTCAATTCACACTCACCTACAAACTAATTGAATGTTCTCATATTGGTAGTGACAACGAATTGGGGTTACATGCCTCTTCGGTGAATCCAACCACATTACAATCTCCTAAACACCACAGGCCCTCCCACAGACCCCTAATATCAACAAGTTCTTCCCACATTCTCTTCTTTCTCTATATGAGTTGGGTCTATAAACATTAGCACCCAAATGAATCCATTGCTAACATTCTTAAATTTTACAGAAACTGAAAATTTTCCCACCAGCTCTTCTAATGATTCCACCACACCATCCATCCACAGTGATTAGACCACCAGAGACTCCCCATTACGACAACACTGTCTAGCTAGTTCCCCTAGCCATACAACCCTTACCTACTTGTCCATCTCTGTTAGCTTTGTTTCCTGAATCAGAACTATATCTGGTCTCTCTCTTCAACAAATCCTTAATTACCCTCCTCTTTCTAGCGCTACCCAAACCTCTAACGTTCCAGCTTATGATCTTCATTAAATCTTTCTATAAATACCCTCAAATCCTCAATCCCACATTCACCTTCCACATCTAATTTTAGTCTGTTCAGTTCTGATTTCTTTTTCTTGCTCACTTTCTTTTTTCCTAGAATAGACTTTAGTTTGCTCCACTTCCTAAACTTGTAAACCCAATTGTTCAGCTATTTTCCTTCCACATTAAACCCCTTTTTTGATAAATGAGTTATATTTTTATTAAGAATAGAAAAAGTGTACAATCAGCCTAAAAGGAGGTGCGAGATGTTACCTCCCCTTTCCACATTAAACCCTTTGTTTAAATGGATTACAAGATCTGCTAACATGATTGCTTATGGTCTTGAAAGAGGAGGTGCAATGGGGTTGAACTAGAGTTCTGGCATGTCAAATGAGATGTTTTCTGTTTTTTCACTTGATGTTCAATGGAGTTCATACATTGGCTTGGATTGCCCTTGGCACTTTTTGGTTCCTTCAAAGGCATATAGATGTGGTTACCATACTTCTTATCCATAAAAATATATCTTGTTTTGAAAATCACTGGGATTTAATTGTAATGATAACTTTATTTTAAGTCATTTAGAACAGTAATGTAAACATTACATTCTTTTTTTACAAGTATATTCCCTGAAATGAAGCTATACATTCACAACCCAACAACACTATTACAAGGTCATGCAAACGAATTGATCCTTCAATGATATATTTTTACAAGCAACCATAGCTACAACAAGTATTAGATAGCTCTAGTCCTTATTTTAAGGGAAATTGTCTAAAACTCGCCATGCGTTTTCAGCATTTCTCTTAAACTCACCACAACTTTTCAAAATGTCTAAAACTCACCATGTCAGTAAGTTTTCATTTTCCAAAATTCACCTTCCGTTAGTGCACCGTTAATGTTTCTTAACAGAGGTGTCCACATCAGCATAAATAACAATTTTTATGACCAAATCACCCTTGAATGGCGAGTTAGAGGAAAAGGGTCTTTTTCATTTTTCAATTTTCTTTTTTTTACATTTTAGCGTTTTGTTATAATTTCTAATGTTTTGTTATAATTTCTGTTTTTTTACATTTTTCTATTTTTTTATATTTTTCTATCTACAACCTATAAAATTTCCTGTATTTTTTGTTATTTATTTGCAATTTCTGTGTTTTTCTATCGTTTTTGGTGTTTTTTTTACAATTTTGTTTTTCAATTTCTATAGTTTCTATAATTTTAAAATAATTTTTTATTTTGTGTGCAATTTCTATAGTTTTTTATTTTGTGTGCAATTTCTATAATTTTTTATATTTTTCAATTTCTGTGTTTTTATGTATTTTATATTTGAAAATATTATTTGAACTTTTCCTTTTTTTTCATATCTAAATATTAAAATATATGTATACATTTTATATATGTTTATATTTTATATTTTATATTTTATATTTTTCTATGAAGGTTAAAATGGTAATATATTAACAGCAGTTAGTCTCTTTAACGTCAAGTTAGTGACATGGTGAGTTTTAGACATTTTGAAAAGTTGTGGTGAGTTTAAGAGAAATGCTGAAAACTCATGGTGAGTTTTTGACAACTTCCCTTATTTTAATTGACATAGTCCTAGTCAATTTACTCTCTCAGAATTACGTCTAGTTGTCATAACCCTATATTGGTTAGTTATCATTTACCAAACATAGAACTACCACAGAAGGTCTCCTATCAATTCAAGAAGACTCAGAACAGTAAATTTAGTTAAAACTGGACTTACCAAAAGAAGCCTCCATACATTTGGGCGCATATATGGAGGTACGCCACTCCAAGATAACTCACGTAATGTCTCTATATGATGCAAAAGAAACATCAAAAATGTATTAAAAAAGGAACATAAATTATAAAATTGGACAATTGGAACCAACAAATAGAAAAAGAAATCCAGTGGTTGAGGCAAACAGGCAATTAAAAGCTTTCAAAAGGACATTATAAGCGCAGCAGATGCTTTCAAGATATCTATTCATATGAAACATTTAACCAGAAATAAAAATAGCAGGGCAAATAGTAATGTTATCCTCCCTTTAACTGACAGTGATAGTGGAACAAATTGGCACTGCAACCACTAAAACATGATGCAATATTGAATGGTGTCAATGGGTACAATAAAGATCATACACATTTATATTACCTCTCATTTATATAGATTAGAACATTAACTTGCAAAATTAATTTGACTATGTGCAGGTTGATCAATCAACCAGCTCATAAGTGAAGAAATGCATATAATTGTATGGAGAAAAATAAACATAGCTAAGTGACCAATCTATGAGATTGATCACAAAAATAATGTTCCATCATTGACTAATTTTGAGCTGCCTCTACACTTAATGTTCTAAAGTGAAAATAATGATCCCTTACTCAGAATAAAGTGAAGAATTGCATTTATTTATATGGAGAAAAATAAACATAGCTAAGTGATCCATCGATGAAATTGATCAAGAAAATAATGTTTTCTATCAGTAACACATGAAAGGATTTTATTAATTTTAAAAGAAAGCAGAGAAACAAAACATTGTGGAAGAAACAGAAGAGACCAGATGTCTAAACCCCACAAACATTACAGCTGAGCCCAAAACATACTCTGTCTGAAACTTTTGCTTAGCAAGACCATCTGCCAGACTATTGGCAGATCTTCTAATCCAATTAACCAGAATAACCATGCCCCTAGAGAGCCATTTGAAACGCCTAAGTGCATTCCTTAGGTGCCAAGACACTCCCTCTCCCTTCTTTAGCCATTCTACTACTGTTTTGGAATCGCCTTCAATAATTAATCTTTCAATACCCAATTCTTTGGCTTTCTCAACTCCAAAAACAGCAGCCAAGAATTCTGCTGATGCCACATCACCTTGCTCAATTGGGCCTGAGAAGACAACGTGTATATTTCCTTCCTCATCTCTGATTACACAGCCAATTCCAGAGGGGCCAGGATTGCCCACACAACTCCCATCAAAATTCAGTACCACCAAAGGAAAGACAGCACTGCCCTCAAATGCTATCAAAACTAAAATTCATGGTTCCCATACTGAAATAAGTGGGAAACCATGAATGAGACATTGTCATGGTGTATTCAGGTTCCATGGGAGATAGGACTACAATTTAGGCTGAAGTCATGGACTTGGCGGAGTATTTCTTTGGATCCCCCCAATTGTAAGTGGAAGAAATAGGTGGAGATGGAGTGGATGCAAGAAGAGGGCAAAGTTTTGTGTGTGCTCCATCATGCCACTGGAGAGGCTAGATTTTTTACTTCCAAAATGAACATTTCACTAAGATTGATTAGAAGATCACCAACAACCTAGCAGATTTGCTTGCAACAGAAGGAGCAAACCAAGTCGAGCCGTATTAGGTCTGCCCTCACTTGGTAGTCTGAGGAAAATTGGATCCTTCCAGAATGAACACCTCATTTGGATAGGTTAGAAAATCAGCTATAGCTGATTCATTGCAAGAGCAGAAGTGAATCAGGCTGAACTGTACTGGATCCCCCCCCCAACAACCTAGCAATTTGCTTGCAGCAGAAGGAGCAAACCAAGTCGAGCTGTATTAGGTCTGTCCTCGCTTGGTAGTCTGAGGAAAATTGGATCCTTCCAGAATGAACACCTCATTTGGATAGGTTAGAAAATCAGCCAACAGCATAGCTGATTCATTGCAAGAGCAGGAGTGAATCAGGTTGAACTGTACGGATCCCCGCCAAGCCAGGTGGTTTCAATTGTAATAAAATAGGAGCGTAAACTGTTTTCATCTATAATGCAATTCCTTTTACATTAATTCAAGATCCTGAGATCTGTCAATAATCAAAAAGAAAAAGACAACTTAGTACCAGAGGAACAGTATATTCTTAAATTGCCGGTATTTCTACTATGATGTCAATATGTCACACAATAAGAATAAACAATCCACAACAAAGCATATAAAGGTTATTTACTAAGATTACCATCTATAGTAATTTAATAATTTATTTAATCATTATTGCTTAGTTGAATTTGTACACTATTTCTAGATTTCTTGGCTTTCCATGCCCAACATATAGCATTAATACTGAAACACAGCATTTATGTCCACACACACACATCCTGCCAAGCTGGGTCATAACGCAAACATGTGTTTGTGTCTGTCAGCCTGTCAAGAGATATTTATTTGTTTACTAATCAAAAAAGAAAAAAAAAAAAAAAAAAACAGAATCTGTGTCAATGTTGAAATAACCACAGAAATTGATTCATTAAATTATTAAAGCAAATACCCAATATAACAGTTGGTCCAGAGAGTTCCTTTTTGAACTTCATAACCCTTGCTGAATCAGTAGCTCTAGCCCCCGTCGTGTTCTTCTGAGATTCTCTGGATGAATTTTGAATATTTGGAATAGATGATTTTAACCTATTAGCAGTCGTACTGTTTGGTGGCTTGATTGCACCATGATCTTCTTCCTATACCCAAAAAAAATCAAGTTTTGTTATGAAGCACTGTTTTATTGTTATTATGAAACAGTTTTGTTTATTTTAATAATGAAACTCAGATAATGTATCAACTTAAAAGAGAGAGAGAGAAAGAAAGAAATTAGGTAAGGTAATGTAATAATATATACCTCAGAAGACCTGTCCATGTTTTCACCTGGTCCAAGATCATTTTCTGAGTGGCTCCTTTCAATACCTGGAGAGTGTTCTGATAAGCCAGAGACATCCAGTGGATCTGACCTCCGGGTAAGCAATACTTTTCCAGGGAAGCTCCGTCCTTTAAGCAATCTAGAAAATATATGAAGAGAAGAATAGATAGAGCATTCAGTATTTCCAACATTAATGGCAACTAAGGTCGCATTTGATGGAGGCTGGAAAAGGGAAAACATCTATTTTCTGCTTCCTGAGAACATAAGAACAAAAGAAGAAATCTTTCTAAAGTAACAAATGCCGCCTAAAATATACATCTATAACTAGGCCCAGAAGCTTTTAAAATGAAAAGGAAAAAAACAATGATATATAACAAAAGTAATTTAATAACTGATCCCACATATCATTCAGTCCATCAGACAGAAATGTTATTGCTTGCATTTTAATCATCTAAATGGGGGTAAAATCAGTAAATCTTACAACCAATCAAAATTCAAAGGCGAATACAAGGAATGTCAAGTACCATCCTGCCTATGTATTTGCAAATCAAAAAAAAAATGAAAATTACAAAATCCTCTTCCTAGAAACTACAAACAAGAGCAAAGCCACGAAGGTTATCATGGTACAACAAACCTGCACATGCTATCCATGCTATTGCAGAGGGGCAGTCACTCAATACAACTCATAGGTGGTACTCAATCCCTTTCCAACAGTTGAAGAAGAGTTAGTTGACCACAGTATCCATAATCCCCCTAGGAGACTACAAAGAAGAGCAAAGCCACAAAGACTATCATAGTACAACAAAACTGTGCATGCTATGCATGTTATTGTATAGGGACAGTTACCCAATACAACTCGTATGTGGTGCTCAATCCCTTTCCAACAGTAAGGTGAAGAGTTAGTTGGCCACAGGATCCATAATCCTCTACCTAGGAGACTACAAACAAGTGCAAGGGTATGAAGGCTATCATAGTACAACAAAACAGCACATGCTATGCATGCTATTGCAGAAGGGCAGTCACCCAATACAACTCATATGTGGTGCTCAATCCCTTTCCAACAGTTAGCTGAAGAGTTAGTTGACCACAGGATCCATAATTCTCTCCCTTGGAGACTACAAACAAGAGTAAAGCCATGAAGGCTATCACAGTACAACAAAATAACACATGCTATGCATGCTATTACAGAGACACAGTCACCCAATACAACTCATGTGGTTCTCAATCTCTTTTCAACAGTCAGCTGAAGAGTTAGTTGACCACAGGATCCATAATCCTCTCCCTAGGAGACTACAAACAAGAGTAAAGCCACGAAGAGTATCATAGTACAACAAAATCAAACATGCTATACATGCTAATTGCAGAGGGGCATTGACCCAATACAACTCATATGTGGTACTCAATCCCTTTCCGACAGTCAGCTGAAGAGCTAGTTGACCACAGGATCCATCTAGATGGGCTGTTCACACCGAACTCCAAAGTTCTAGTTTATCCATTTCTATGAAGTGAGTGTTGGCAAAAAACTCAGCACTCACACCAATATCGTTTACAAGTTGAGAGATCTATCACTACTTATGCAAAATCCAAAATGCTTCTATGTAATTGTACGACTATATAAAGCTAAAAAGACAAATCACTCGGGGTTCTACTAGGGTTTCAATATAAATTAGCATACAACCTAGAAAAAAACCATGTACATTTCCAATTTGAGTAATCATGTAAAACAACTACATGTATTCTTAGCATTTAGAATTCGAAGAAAAACAATTCAAGTGTGCTTTTATCCCAGTGGGTAGTTGAAATCAAAAGGTAGACAACTAAATAATCGTTTGATTGTGATTTCTACAAACAAAAAGTGAAATGCACAGTACTCAGATGAACATTTTCAAGTAGTTCGCTTAATTTGATAGATCTAAAAGCAACCCAAATGAAATTTCTATTCTGGTTGCAATACAACCCTCCAATTGAGAAATCAGAAGCACTGTGCTAGAAAATCTCATAATTGCAATTCGGAATCATAAGAACAGATACGCCTTCGAATCTAGAGTAAGGAGAAATTGAATCTCGAATCTAATATGAGGACGTACCCTTGAACACTTCTGAGGGTTTGATTGAATCTAGAGTCGATGTTGAGAGAGGGATCCTTCTTTCGCTCCTCCTCTCGGTCGTTGTTCTTCATGGCTATTTGCCTACTTCACAACGACCATGCTTGTCCAGTTTTGCTGCTTCCAACCCTTTTTCAACTCACAAAATTAAGCAAGACTAAAAACAATTTACGAGATAAAACTTAAAAGAAGATAAATCGCTGAAGATTAAAGCAAACTAATCGCGACTAAAGTAAAGGTGCCAAGTTCACCGGTAGTCCGGTAGATTGGAATCAACCGGGAAAATTATGGCATACGAGATGGGATGTAGGGCTGTGTAGCATGTAGGTAGGGGCATAGGGCCATAGGGCTGCACGGCCAAACTGACCCGACCCTGTGGGTATTTTAGTCCGAATGGATGATCAATCCCATTCCGACCCGCATCAATCGAAAGTCCAATGTCCAACCCCATCACAGACCCGCATCAGTCGATATGAGTTTAGATCATGCTGAAGAAGAGAAACGATCAAACCAGTGTTGGAATCTCTAAAATGATGAAATTACCTAAAATGCGAGTCATAGTAATTGGATTTTTTTATGGCAAGTCTTTCCATGCGGGTTTTTGCAAACCCAAAAGATTAAAATTTGATTTTTTTCCGTTTGATAACCAAAAGTTGAAGATATATGCACCATGGTTTTTAAAAACGACCCGATGACCAAATCGGTCAGGGGTCCGGTTACAGGTCCGACCATTCAAACGGATCGAATCTGACAAAAAAATAAAATAAAATAAAAATTTTAAAAACCAAAAAACGGTCAAAACCGTTTGAACAGTTCGAACAATTAACTGCCCGGGTCAGCGGTTTGTTGACCAAAATCAATGGTTTTGGGCAAATTTTTGGTTTTGGGGAAAACTGAAACTAGTCACCTAACCGGTTCCTGATTTTTCCAATCCCACCATCCGGTCCGGTCCAGTTTTGAAAACCATGATATGCACAGAAAATACTGGAAATGCCAAATTTTATGAAGCTTCCTAGTATTTTTACGTGACAAATAGCCTTTTGAATGTTTTTTAAAAGCCCGACAAACTGACTGAACCACTTATCAAACGGTCTTTGTCTTTAAAGACAATACGCAAAAGCGCAATGCATTTTGGCCATCTTAGCTGTTGAAAGATCTTTCTAAAAAGACTTATTGAACAGACCTATAATTGATTGGATTAACCCATTTGCATTGGCATAGACTCATAAAAATGTGAATTTTATAAGCTCAAAATTGATACTATTGACTTTGGCAATTCAATATGTTCAATTTGGGCTTGGGCCATGCCTAAACCAAAAGGTAGCCACGAGAGGTTGGTTTAAATGAAGACAATTTAACAAGAGAAATTTATATGTAAGAGATTTTAGTTTTGGAATGTAGATAAAAGAAATGCCAAAAAAAACAAAAGAAAAAAGAAAATGATCAGTTTGAGCCAATTTTGCAATTAGTGTGAGCAAAAAGGAAAATAAAATAACTTCCATATTGTATTTGCATAATATGTCAAATATGCACATATAAAATAACGTTAATTATTTAAAACTCCCCTTCACATTTTTCTCAACTCTATTAAATTCATCTTAACTTTTCAAAACCTCGAGAGACCCCTTGTCATTTTTTTTTATCACATAGTATGATAGTCACATTCCATTAAATCACCGTTGGTGTCTGGGCAACCATAACCAAAGCTGCCTAAATATGTCATTATCCATTTTTAATGACTACTAGAATAACTCATAGTCATGATGAAATGTCCCCCTTCATGACTTAACAGTTAGTTCACACAAATTTCAAACATTATTTCATGAATTATCTTAACAAGAAATAATAAAAAAACAAAAAAAAAGAACGAAAGCCCACCATCGACTCAAACCTTTGTAGAATCTAGCATGTTCAATATATGAGAGAGGTGTAAAATTAAAAATAAAAAATAAAACGGTGGAATAGGTGACAATCGAATTTATAGTTTATAAATGCTACAACATAGTTTTATTAGGGTTTTGATTTTTATAATGTGCATGTTTGGTTTATTTCTTCATTTTAGATATAACAAAAGAATAAATAAATAAAATCATCCCCAATATTTTTTGAAAAAAAAATGTATTTCATTTTATTAAAGTTGACCTCAATAAACACTTTATCAATTATTATTGATGTATTGTTTTCTTATTTGTAAATGTGCACATATGTTGTATGTGGCAATTTCTAATGATAAAATGACAAAATTTAAATGTTTTTGTTATATCTCATATAGAAACCAATCATAGCATAATTGATATCACAAAAGTGATAACTAGATGGGTGATTATCACCATCATCATCTAAGAGCCTTGTCCAAACTACATGGGATCAGCTACATGAATCCTCTTTAACCATGCAGTTATACTCAATGTTGTATCCATTGTTAAATTATGAGCACTAATATATTTTCTTTTTACTGCCCTTCTGGGTTTGCCCCCCCCCCCAACTCTTTTAGACCCTTCAACGTCAAATTCATCATTTTTTCAAACTAACATTATGTAGTGTTGTATGCACATGACCAAACCATCTCAATATACTTTCTCTCATTTTCCCCCTTTTGTAGTTCTGCCTAGGTTATTTCATATGCCATCAATAAAGTGGTATTCATTAAAATTCATGGAGGGTATCATTGATTAAAACTCTTGGTATCATACCTTTTAGCATCAAGGATATGAAGAATATATATAATATTATAGACCTGCTTAATTTTTTTATAACTTTCTTTTACTTTTTTTGTATTTAATATTTTTATTATTTATTATAATTGACTTTTGTAGTTGGTCATTTTCTCAACTACCTATTTGTGGCTAGTCCTTTATTTCCAGCTGCAAATTTGGCATACACATCTTTTGCAACTACCATTTGATAATTTAGTTATTTACATTTCAACTAGTTTTATTTCATGTTGTTGTATTGAAATTATTTTTCATTCTTTTATTAAATGGGGAGGGGAAATATTTTTGCCCCGAAACTAAGGGTGTCCACAATTTGGTTAACTGAACCATGGACAATTTTTTCAAACTGAACCGCTCCAACCAGTTTATTTATTTCTCCAAACCAAAACCGTACCGATACCACTAATTAACCAACACGACAATTTTGGTTTTTTATATTTATAAATATAAAATATTATATTATAACTAATAAATGATATATACTATATTTTAAATATTAAAATTATATATAATATATTCATAAATATATTTTATAATTATAATATATGTATATATTTATATATAATGCATATATTTACATATAGTATATAAAAAAAATGTGATATTAAAAAATATATAAAATATACATATAAATAAAGGTCGGTTCAGTTAACCGCCATTTTTTTCTAGGTTAACCAAAAATCAAACGAGTCCTTCGTTTTTTCAAAAATAAAAAAATGAAACCGATCGGTTCAATTTACATTTTTTGGTTCAGTTCGGTTTTTCATGGACACCCCTACCTGAAACAATGGCAAACGAGGATGAGATTTGCATATAATTCCCTAAACTCGATGGTAAATTAGTAAAATATCCCTAAGTTTAATATTAATTTTTAATAATATTAAAATTATATATAATATATTCATAAATAGATTAATAATTATAATATATGTATATATTTATATATAATGCATATATTTATATATAGTATATAAAAAATATGTGATATTAAAAAATATATAAAATATACATATAAATATAGGTCGGTTCAGTTAACCGCCATTTTTTTCTAGGTTAACCCAAAATCAAACCAGTCCTTCGTTTTTTCAAAAATAAAAAAACGAAACCGATCGGTTCAATTTACATTTTCTGGTTCAGTTCGGTTTTTCATGGACATCCCTACCTGAAACAATGGCAAACAAGGATGAGATTTGCATATAATTCCCTAAACTCGATGATAAATTAGTAAAATATCCCTAAGTTTAATATTATTTTTTAATATATATATATATAATTTTTCCCAAATTCCTAAACTCCTAAGATCACATAATTCCATTTCTAGAATACTTCCAATTTGTCATAATCCAATTTCATGTAATACCCCAAATTCCCATAATCATATTTCTAAAACATTATAAAATTAAATGTATTTTTAGGTGGTTGCCTTGGGATAGGAATATTCATGGATTCCTTGCCCTCGATGGAAATAGATGCCCACCCCAAACTCACGCCATTGCCATTTCTAACTACTAACCCTTGAAGCTCTTGAGTATATATTGCTTATACGTTTCAAACTACAACTCTTACTTCAATAATGAGCTCATCATATTGATCATTCACTTATTACCACATTTTAATAATCTAGCTAAGAATATATTCCATTGCTACTTGTATTAAATATGTAGCTTAATCTATTCAAAGTTTTTAAGTTAACCCAATTTATTCCCCTCTTGGGTAAAACCATCAGTTCCAACAATGTGTTGAGTGCAAAACCTTGTATACGATATACATTTGTATTTCTAAACCTTGTAAAACACATTGGTATTTGCATTATTCAAAAAAAGGCATGGTGTTACATGCCATGGTCAACATTGTCTAGTTACATTAAATAATCGGGTTTCTAATTCATCAATCAATTAATCAAACTCAATTTGCATTAGATACAAGAGTGTGAGAAAGGAAATTAAGTATTAAAGACCAAGTATGTGGTCTCCTAGCATGAAGACCATATTTAGCAATATTACCCGCTACACAGTTTTCTTATATAGGTGTGTATGTGACAAAGCAAGATAGTAGGTGATTATATGTGCTTATGTAATTGTCAATCACATTATGAAACTACCACGGTGGTTTTAGATGAGTCACTAATAGAAGATTAAGAACAGTTTGCACATCACAATCAATTAGTGAGTCTTCATAGAAAGCCTTGTCTTCAACTAAAGCCAACTAATAATGGCTTATGGGCAAGGCCCTTGTAAAAGAGGAAAGCACCATTGTGGTTTCTAGCAAATAGGCCCATGGTTTTTGATTCACACCCCATTGATGCATCAACGTTTACTTTAATCACATCACAACGAGGCTTACTCCTACTAGCATCATTCTATATTATATAACCTATGTACAATCAATATTAGTAGGACTATGCAAAAAGGTAAAGAAAAAGTACATTGTTGTATGGGATTTGAGGATGATTTGTGCTGAA